AAGACTAGTAAGTTTAAAATGACTGACTCATATTGAATCCTCAATTTATGAGGCAATGGCTGTATCTACATCACTCCCATAACATTAATGAGAAAATAAAGAAGTAACTTGTTATAATGTGTCCCTTAAGTCAGCATTTGAATAAGTCTGTCATATCCCAAACTCCTCCTTATCATTACATAACAATTTCTAGCCAAGATGATTAAAGATCCCTTTCTGTTAGTTATATGCTTCTTGTTGTTCCTAAGTGCCATTAAGCTGGTTCCGACTCACAGAGAGCCTATATAGGGTTTCTGTGGAGCAGCTTTTGGGTTTGAACTGCCAACCCTACAATTAGCAATCCAGTGCTTATCCTATGTCGCCACACCAGGACTCCTCCTGTTAAAAGGACAACAGTCTATATTGCTTCTTTATTCTTACTAGTCTTTCCATCTCAAAACAGCATGCCTATTGTACTGTTTTGAATATATCAATTTAACATTTATTTAATCAAAAGCTACATACAAAAGCAGTCTCACATTAATACAAGCCTCCATGAAAGAAAAGTATTGGAAAGAATTTGGTGTTCACTTTTCTACAGCTTATTTTTCTATACACACAAATATACATTTTCTCTGTATAAATGTTTAAAATGGAATCACAGTGATGTAGCTACTGGTTTTACTTCACTTTGTACACCTTAAACGTCTTCTTATACCTATAAAGACATTTGCCTCTTTTCTATGGACCATCATCATCGAAAGGTACACAGTTGTAGTACGCTATATGGCTTGCTTCCAAAACTCTGCTACCACAAAGACAATCTCAAAAAATATTTGTATGCTGTATCTTTATGTACTTGTGAAGCTGTATCTGTAGGAAAATTCCTAGAAATGGAATTGCTAGGTCAAAGGGTCCAAGTATTAAGAATGTTAATGATTTCTGGCAAATGCCCTCTAAGAAAAGTTCATGCCCAGTGTGCATTCCCACAACACAAGAGCCCCCCCCAATAGTTAGCTTCTAAAGGCTAGGGGCAATTAGGGTTTCTGTTACTTCAAAATGCCAAGTAATGAAATTGTTCTCACTGGTCATCTGAATTCCATTTAGAACTGGACAAAACTCCTAGAGGCCTCCCTGGATGGTGTCAGTATAACTACCCATCTTCATTTTCCTCTTCGTTGTCATTAGAGGTCTAAAGAGAAAATATGTCTGGTGCATAAATGGTGGTGGTGGTTACGTACCATGGAGTTGGAACCTACTCACAGTGACCCTGAACAGGGTTTCTGAGGCTGGAAATCTTTACGAGAGCAGAAAGCCTCGTCTTTCTCCCGCGGAACAGCTAGTAGTTCCAAACTGCTGACCTTAAGGTTCGCAGCCCGATTCATAACCACTACACTACCGGAGCTCCTTGCTGCATAAATATTAACCTTCAAATATCAGATACTCTGATAAAAAGCTTTCCACATTATTTCTTAAGACCCATTTAATACAAATCAAAACCAAGCAGTAAAGCTGGGCTTGAACACTTAAATTAGAATGGAGATGTAAGTGTTGATTTATTATGCTTTATCTGCCCATTAAAAGGACAAAGGCTTCAAATAAAAAGCTATCAAATCATACCAGTGGCCAAATTAGCTTGCATAAAATAATAAGCAACAGATTTTATATCATAAATGTCAATGGAACAGATTGCAAGATTAAGGATGGCTATAACTGGAAAGAAAGTTGCTCAAACTTAACAGTCTAGAAATGAAAATATTAACATTTGAAATGAAATGTTTTTAGTATGACCATTTCTTTCAGTCATATCAAAGTATTATAAATCTTTGGTACTAATATGTAAGATACGGACTTTTTTTGCAGGTAGATAGTTTTAAAATGCATCATGTTCTACCTATTCTGTAACAGCTAATGTGTATTCTGGGCTTCATTATTTCATGAGAGTCTCTTTTCTAGGACTTGGTGCTAGTAGTTTTTAAATGATAGTCTCCCACACATCTTCATTGCAGAGTAAAACCTCATTAATTCAAATCCAATTAGTTCAATTCGAAAATGGTATACGTAATTCTCATTAGGCAACAAGTTGAAAATACTGTAATTTCGTCCTTTACAAGTTCTCATAAAATTACTGTGAAACAAAGGAAATCAACCTGAAAAATCAATTCACTTTTTTAAACCAAAGAATTATGAAACTAAAGACCCCATCCATCTTTCCAGCTAAGCTAGATTTGTCTGTTTACCAGCAACGGTATATGGTGTAAAGGGGCACTGGCGGTGCTGGCAGTAAGGTATTATTAGATCAATGGTTCAAACCCACCAACTGATCCTCCAAAGAAAGTTGTAAGCGTTCGTGTACGTAAATATTTATAGTCTTGGGAACCCGGTGTACAGACAGTTCTATTCCATCCTACATGGTCCTAGGAGGTAGAATCAACTCAAGACCAAGTAGTTCAGTTTGTGGTTTATATATAATGTAAGTTATTACAGTAATTGAGAGCACACAAGTTTCTTTTCAAATATTTTGTAGCTCAGATTTTTCATGAGGGCACTTTTGCAGTTCCTCCCATTTTCAATGGGTAAAATTTTACCCCATCACTGATAGGTCAACAATATAGTAAACATAGTACCTACACCAAGGTATACAAGTAAACTTAGAAATGTTTGCCATTCTTGTTGTTGTTGTTAGGTGCCATCTTATTTAGTATTTATTAAATACTAAATAAGAATTGCCATTCTTACTTAGTATTTATTCTTGTCATTTTGAAAGATCCTATAAAGCAGTAACAATCATTTTTTTTTCAAGTACTAGGATTAAGTGACATGTTTGGTGTTGCTTGAACTTACAACTAACTATTGCCAATGAACAGAGAAACAGTCTCCTGTGATTTGAATCATGTGTAATTACAGTATGACAAGGTCTCTCTTGGGCTATGTAAGCTGGCATTTTTCCCAGGACTTGTCACATCATGGAAAGCACACATACAAATAAAAATCCAAAAATAAACATTTTAAAACAATGGCTTACAAGCTGCATAAAAAGAAACTTCACAGTTGAGAATAAAAACTGCAGAGTTCAAACAGCAAGCAGACATCTCTCAGGAGAGTAGTCTGAGAAGCAATCACTGTTATCAAGTCCCAGCTTACCACGCCTAGCAACAGCTCTCAGGTGTGAGCTGTGTGGGCAGTACCCTTGAGTTCCCTCAGGCTGGACAGAAAATCATTAAGTATGGGAAATAAAGGGAACCAGTCACTGCACACACCCACCAAATCAGAGAAACAGCTGTGAAATATGGAAGAGGTTGATCATCTTTAATTCCCATAATGCCAATTTGTTGATTGTAAGGGGACCTAAACAAAGTTACCTTAAGAGCAACAGCTTCTGCCAATGGAGTTAATTGTCCTAACACAATAAATATTGCTTTTTTTATTAAGCGTATTTCATTGAAGTGAAGAGTGGGCAAATAGTTGTAACAGTGGATACAGCAGGATCTTAGAAGGTGGTTTCTTTTGTTGAAACTCTGCAGTGGCTCTATAGACACATGGAAAAGACAGAGATTCCAAAACGAATCAAACCCAGCCTTGGCCAGTGACAAAAACCTAACAATACTCAGCTTTAAGAAAATACGAAGTATAATATCTTTGGAGATATATATATATATATATATAACATAAAACTCTCCAATAAAACCTAAAAAAAAAAAAAAAATCCCCATAAGTGATGTATTCCTACTCATGGGCCCATTCAAATTCAACTGCTCACGTTTTCAAGGGGAGTGACAAGACAAACCACTAAAGACAAAAATCACAATCCTACTTATTTTATGATGGAAACAAAAATAAGCATCAACACAAACCTCTGCCACCTCTGAGACAAGACGCACACCATTTCTTTCTTTAGTCAGCTTCTGAATGTTCAATAATTTCCACGTAGCTCTAAGCAGAATAGATTTATTATGATGTTGCTCTAAGAAACTGCAGGAGTTCTAGATGCCAATAAAGATTACAGATCAAATGGAAGATAACTGCTAACCATTGTGTTGAGACTTAGATAAATAAACCTACTCACAAACAAAGCACCTTATTGTATTTGAATGTTACCTCCTCTAATCAAACTAAAACAACCAGACAGTAGCTTCTCAAAGGTGGAAGGAAACTGAAATCCGGGTTGCAAGAACCCCCTGTAAATATCGTTGTAAATGACAGTCCATTTCTCTTTTCGCCAAAACTCTTTTGCCCTGTATGGAAAATGTTTGGGACCACAGAAACTAAACAGGATTATGCAAAGTAGATAACAAGGTGGAAAGGATTAAGCAGAAGGCGGGCGAACACCACCTTCTGAAACTTTGCTTAGACCTTCCCAAGGACCTCTCAGACACATGGGAATCCTGCTGGAAATATAACGTGCAATCAAATGCTATTGAGGGTCAAGGACGAATAAAATCTCCAGTTTTAAATCCTGACAGAGAGAAGTGGGGGGAATTGTCTAACACAAAAAGTCTATGGCAGCTGCTACCCAATGCCTCCTACACAGACAGAAATGCAGAAGAGACCCTTACAACAGTCGACTTGTCAAGATGAAACAATAACTACATCCAATGCATTATTTTTAACAACACAGGTAAATCTCAATTTCTCTGGGAGAAAAGGCACAAACTGTTTATTGCCTCCAACCCCAATCAATCCCCACACCTACAAAAACCCAACAACTAATTGCACCTTTCCCACAGATACCGCGGCTAACCCCAGAGGACCGGCGAGGGCTGGCTGGGGATGAATAAACACGCGACACCTGACAGTCCTTTCTCCGCGGTGACTTTCACCGAGCCCAAGGCGCGCGCGGAGGCAGCAGCCCGTTCCGTTGTCGCGCACCCGGGTCCCGAAGCTCCGCAAGCCAGCTCGGCGAGGGGAGCAGGGGGGGCGGGCCGGGGGACCGCCCAGGCCCAGCGATTGTTTCCAGTGCAAGACAGGACATTTTTTTTTTTTTTTTTTTAAATCAAGTCCCTTTTGTATTCGAGCCCTACCTCTTTTTGGCCTAGGAAAGCTTTCGTGCAAGTGGAAGACGACTTTCTCCACAAAGTGCTGAATGTTACTGTGCTCCGGTCCGCGCACGAACACCATCCAGTCGTGGGTGAAGCCCTCCACCGTGGGTTTCTTCCGCACCTGGGCGCGGTGCCCCAGCTCCAGCTTCACCTGCACGGCACACTGCGGGCAAGGGGAGGAGAGACAGTGAACAACAGGAAGGCGGCCGTGCGGCACTGAACATTGCGCCTGACATTTTTTTTTCCTCCTCCTTGAAACGCACATAAAAGGAAACGACGATGCCCTGTGCATCCACGTTCCACGCGCGTGGGCGCGCAAACCCCACACCCCCTGCGGCATCCCGCCCGGCCGGCCCCGCCTCGGGCCCAGCAGCCACACCGGCCGGATTGTAACGGAATGTCACCCCCTATATTACCCGGCCGCGAAGGGGGTCCGGGCTGGTGGAGGGGGGGTGGTAGAGCACCCTTAGCCACGACAAGCACGACAACAAATGCATCGGAAACAAATTAGAAGACAATTAGGAGACGACAACGAGGCGGTTTCCCCGCGTGGGAGGGGAGGTGGCAGGGACCTGGCTGGGTGAGGGGGGGTTCTGACGATCCCCCTCCCAGAAAGTACCGCGGCGACAGGCACACGCCGAGGAAGTCTTTGTGTACGTGTGTGTGTGCGTGCGTGTGGAGCGCTGTGCCAGGCGGAATGGAAACTACAGGCAACCTCTGCTGATGGGCACAAACTCCCGGGCTCCTACCCTGGGCTCGTGCACCACAAAAAACGAGACATCGTCACAAACACGTACACACAGCCACACACAAACACACGCCCGCAAGGAAACACGCCGAGGCATTCATAACTTAAAGCGCCCATGCCCCCATTGAAAAAGCCCCCCGCGAACGACGAGACCAGCCGCCCAGAGCCCCCGCCACACACTTCCAAGAGCCAAAGTGGCCCCAAAGTACCTCCCACTTCCCCCCCAAAATAAGCTGCAGCCAGGCAGCGCGGCGGGCGGAGCGGCGCCGAACCTCGGCTGCGCTGCGCCCGGCGCGGGGGCAAAGTTGCGTGCTCCCCGCCGCTGTCAGCCCGCACACTCCCGCTCGCACGCGCGCCGCGAAGAACGCACCATGGTCGCGGCCACGGCGTTTCGCGGAGGTGCGGCCGCCGAGGCTGCTCGCCGCGTCCCCGGACTGTGCCCGCGGCTCCCGGCGGCGGCGGCGGCTGAAATATGGCTGTTATTATTCGCCTCCTTCCACCGAGGGTGAGGGTGTGCGAGTGCGCGCGTGTGAGCGAGAGCGAGTGTGTGCGCTTCTTGCGATCGCAAAGAGAGGCGCGGAGGGAGGGAGGCGCGGGGGGTGGCGGGGCGAGTGTGTGAGTGTGTGTGAGTGTGTGCGCGCCGGGAGGGGGGCGAGGGAGGAAAGAGGCGGCGGAGGGAGAAGCGGCAGCTCCCTGCAAACCGTACCAACCTTTCTCTAATTGGAACCGCGGAGCGCTGGCGCTGTCTGGGCTGCGGCGGCGACGGCGGCGCGGGGCGAGGGAGGGAAGGAGGGGGTCTTTTATTATTATCTTTGCATGTACTTACCGAGTTAGCCATGCCTGGGGGCCCGGAGGTTTGCTGGGGTGTTGTGTGGTCCCCCCTCCCCCGCCCCCGCCCCCTCTCAGCTGTAATTCATGAAGAGGTTGCTATGAATGAGAGCGCGCCCAGGAACGGAGGGTAGATGGCGGACATTCTCTGCCTTTTTTTCCCCCCCGCGCTCGCTCGCTCGCTCGCTCACTCGCTCGCTTATTAAACTCAGCCCCAAAAGCAAAAGCAGCAGCAGCAGCTCCAGGGCCAGAAGATGAGATTCCGGAGCATGCGCTGTGGCGCCTGACACCCGGGCTCTGAGCCTCACGGGGCGGAGGGAGGGCGCGCGGGCGGGGCGGAGCGCGCGGGGAGGCCGAGAGAGCGAACCAGGGGGAGCTCGAAAGAGCCAATCACAGGCCTCGTCCCGAAACCCCGGCGGCCCGCACCGCCACCGAGGAACGCGGCGCTTAAAGTAACAGGTTCCTGCTGGGGGTGGGGGGAAATGAGGAGCGAGGCGGAGAGGGGACGTCTGAGGGGGAAAGCGGCCAGCTGGGGAGCCATCCCAGCCCCTGAGTAAACTCCGCTGGTCCTACAATAAAAAACGGATTAAAACTGCTGGAATGTAGCCACTGCTAGAGCCCCCGGCAGCAGCAGAAGGGTGTGAAATCAAGTGGCGTTAGTTATTTCGCTCCGGTGTGTGTGCATGGGGGGGGGGGGGGGAGGTCTTTCACTTTCTTCCACGTATTTGCTTGTTTGCTTGCACTGAAAAGGCAAGAACTCACAAACAAGCTTGTTTAAAGAGAGAGAACTGTTACCCTTATTAGCAAGTATCAGAATAGAAATCCCTGAGACTTTTAATTCGCAACAATCCCCCGTCCCAGCCCTTTCACAAGCACCCGCCTATCACCCCCATTCCCCGCCCTGCTGCCTTCGCCACCAAAAATGTAAAATGAAATGAACAAGGGAGAAGAATGCCATTTCCTTCCAAGGGAGCATCTTCTGGGTTAGTAATCCCCAGTTGGGAGGCTTCACAAAACGGAGGCCAGGTGAAGGCAAGACTCCTGGGAGTACATGGTACAAACCCTCCGGGACCAAGCGTGGAGTTGTTTTCTTCCTAACAGTCTCCTGGGTTGCTTCAGAACGTGGATTGTCCTCTGAGGACGTGGGGGCACTGGGAGACTTAAAATATCAGATAAAGGTTATACTGACTCCATATGCATACATTGGATTATAATCTTTAGGCGAATTGGTGACAGCCTATGTAATCCATATCTGGCTATTTATTAATCCAGTTAAACTCCCGAGTGAAAACTAGTCGCAGGCGTGTTCCCTGCGCCCTTCTGCGAATGCCCCACACCCCCTCGGGTTGTGTTTGGTCTCTGTGGCTCGAACGGAGCAGCGCGGCCACGCGTGGGGCGGGGAAGGAGTAATTGACTAGTTTCATCTAGAAACGTAAACAACCTTTACCAAGGCAACGGATAAAATTGAGACTTGATTTGAAAGTGAAAGAGGGGTGTGGCTTTCCTTCTTATTTAAAGAGCCTTGCATTTTCCTACTCTTACCTTTTTTGCCATCTTTATTTTTCATTGTATTACCGTCTTCCCTTACATCCCAACTTTTTCTAGGCCCTTCCTCTCTTCCTGCCTTCCTTCTTTATTGGCTTCTCTCTTTTTTTGCCTCAACTTTCTTTCTTTCCTCTTTTTCTTAAATCCACGAAAGCATATTTCCTCAGCCCTTGAATTGAGACGAACTGAATTGCGGTAAGGTTACCTGGTCATTCCGGGTCCTGGCTGTTAATTTTTGGTTCTGTCATCTCCTTACAAAAAGATCATGGAAACCACATTGGACCACCTGGGGCCAACTTTAATTTCCAATCCAGCAAGCCTCCAACTCAGGTAGTATGAACCTTTAAAACTAGTACTGCCCTCCCCCATCTCCCTATTTGCATGGATTCTCATACAGTGGAGAAAACGATTGAGAAGGAAAACATTTTAATCCAAGTACAACTGCTAAAATTTCTCAAGTGATACCCGTGTACAAGAGATGCATAAACATCTTGCGGGCGTAAGTGTGTCTGAATATGTATGTGTAAAGACTATGTTCACGTCACGACCTACTTGTTGTGCCTTATTAAACTTTTGGTAAAATAATCAAATTGGAGAGAAGACCTCTAGAATGATAAGACTGGAAACTGATGGTTTTCTGGATGCACCACCATTAGTAAAGTCTTTCCTTTGAAGCCTTTAGGCATCTAGTGTAGCCCCAGAACACAAATGGAAAACAAGGGGATTCCCAGTTGGAGTTGATTTCAGTGTTTAGCTAACTTTTTTCAATGCTAAGAGGGGGCTTTGGGGGCTCCCTATGTAATTTACACACATGCGGAAGGACTTAAATCACTTTTTGAACTATGTGTTTGTGGAATTCCGATTTATTGCAGCAATCACAGATAAGCCAAAAATTCCGAACCCACTTCTCGGTTCTCAAATACTTTTTAGATGGAAGGTGGTTTCTAATATTCAGATCCTGGAAGTGTAGATTGCATCAGTAGATGGCGCACCGAGCCCTTCCACGGACTTCCTTATCTGGCCTCTTTAACAACAGAAAGACCAGGAGTAGAGAATAAAAAGGAAAGAAAATGCAGTTCTGAATTGTTGTTGTTGTGTGCCTTGGAGTCGATTCCGACTCATAGTGACCCTGTACAGGGTTTCCGAGGCTGTAAACCTTTACAGGAGCAGAAAGCCTCATCTTTCTCCCGCGTAACAGCTGGTAGTTTCGAACTGCTGAGTTTGAGATTAGCAGCCCGATTCGTAACCATTACACTACCAGAGCGCCTTCTGAATATTCTAGACGAAATTTATGGGCAAAGAAATTAATGCTGGTCTTTCCATTTATTATATATAACCTATTATAGCCAGCCAAACCACACCCACTGGTATGGAGTAGATTCCACTCATAGGGACCCTATATAAAGTTTCAGAGACTGTAAATCACCAGCAGTTATTAATTAAGAGGAATCAAAACAGGAATACCAGTAAATCAATTTAATGTCAAGACTATCTTGAGATCTTCACCCTTTAAATGATTACAAATGTGAGAAACAAACTTTTGGGTACTTGACAATGAAAGTATAGAAAATGTATTGCAAATTTTAAGACAGACTTCCCCAGGGCTAACTACAAAAACCAAAGATAAATGTAAACAATGGAAATAATAAGTAATAAAATAATCTTTCCAATTATGCCACCAAAACACATACCATAGCATTTGTTTAATGTTGAAAGGTAAAAACAAAAACAATTAACCTCTTCATATAAAAAAAAAAAAAAGAAAGAAAGAAAAGAACATCTGAGTCATCTTCTTAACTTCTGATCTCTCTCTACTATTAGCTCCACATCTGCAATCATTTGACTCAAGGATTTTTAGTTGCGAATGTTTTGTGTAGTTCAGAAGTTGAGGCTGGCTTGGATATTTCTGGTAAAACATAATTAGAACTTTTAAGGAATAATTAGAGAGTGATAGAGCAGTTAATTCTTTTTTTGTTGTAATTGATTATTGATGTACAAACAAACTAAAAAATGCAATAAATAAAAAGTAATTGTTGTCTGTCTACTGCTGTATGGATTTTTGCAGAAAGAAGACCATGAATGGAAAAGACTAGATTTGGGACAAACACTAAAAAGATAGTTTTCAAAAATTAAGACTCCGAAAAAAGACTTTGCCCCCATCCATAATGTTG